CTGGGATGAGATGGTTGTACCTTTTTAGAATAAGGCAGGGGTACCATTTCAGAATGAAGTTGGGATGGTGTTTCAAGATGTGATGAAGTCATATCTTCAGGATAAGGCAGAAATGCCACTTCTGGATTAGGTTTTGATATAATTTCTTGATAATTAAGGTGTCCCACTTCTGGATAAGTTGGAGGCAGCTCTTTAGGATTACCTGAAAACTTCACTTTGGCATAAGGTGAAGCCATTACTTTAGGATATGATGAAGTTGCTAGTTTAAGGTAAGTTGGAGATATTACTTCAGACTTAGGTGGGGATACCATTTTATCATAAGGTAGAGACTTCAGCTCAGGATGATGTGGGGACATCGCTTGAGGGAAAGCTGGAGGACCCACTTTAGGAAAAGGCTTATGTGTTACTTCAAGATAAGAGGGAGTCATCATTTCAGGAGGATGCATCAATACCTCTTCAGAATAAGTTGGATGAGCTAATTTAGGTGATGGAGGGGATCGCATGACAGGTGATGGGGATCTCATATGTGAATCAGGGGAAAATGAAGGTACCAACTCAGATGAGGACAGAGAAGCCGTTTCAAATGAGGGTGGAGGAGCAAGATCAGGTGAGGGCAGATAAGATGGAATATGTGTTAATTCAGGTGATAGTGGAGATGTCATGTCAGGTGGAGATGGAAATGCCATGTCAGGAGATGATACCATATCAGGGGATGGTAGAATTGCCCCATCAGCTGCTAATGAAGATGCCAATCCAGGTAATTGCAGTAATTCCACTTCAGGTGAAGATCGAGGTGCCAATTCAGGTGAAAATGGTGGTGCAAATTCAGGTGAAAATGGCGATATCACTTCCAGTGGAAATGGTGATGCCACATCAAATGAAGATTCTGATGCTGCTTCAGGTGAAAATAGTGGTGCCACTTCAGGTGGTGATGATAGTGCCATATCAGTTGAAAATGGTGATGATATTGCTCGTGCAAGTGGCGTCAATTCAGGTGAAAGTAATGTTTCCACTTTAGGTGATTGGAATGGTGCAACGTCAGGTGAAGACAGTGATGCCAATTCAGGTGATTGTTGTGGAGCCATATCAAGCGAAGACAATGGTCCCAATTCAGATGACCATGGTTTTACTATGTCAACTGAAAACAGAGGTGCCAGTTCAGGTGAAGGGGCTGGTACCAATTCAGGTGATCGTAGTGCTGCAATATTAGGTAAAGATGGTGCTGCCATTTCAGATGACAATGGTGGTGCCACTTCAGGTGAAGAAGATAATGCTAATTCAGATGATCGTGGTAGTGCCACATCAGGTGAAGATAGTGGTACCATTTCAGGTGATGACAATGATGGTACTGATTCAGGGGATTGTGGTGCTACCAAAACAAATGAAGAGGATGGTACCGATCCAGGTACGTGTGGCAATGCTACTTCAGCTGAATGCAGTGGTGCCAGTTTAGATGATTGTGGTGGTGCAACTTCACGTGAAGGAGGTGCCAATTCAGGTGAGGGTGATGGTGCCAGTTCTGGTGATCGAGGGGCTGCCAGGTCAGGTAAAGATGGTGGTTTCAATTCAGTTGAAGGTACTAATGATAATTCAATTGATTGTGCTGGTGCCCTTTCATGTGAAGGAGGAGCCAGGTCAGATGATCTCGGTGGTGCCACATCAGGTGAAGTTGGCGGTCTAAATTGAGGTGATTGTGGTGATGCCAATTCAGGTGATCGTGGTGGTGCCACATTGGGGAAGGATGGTACTGCCACTTCAGGTGAGGGTGATGATGTGAATTTAGCTGATTGTGGTGGTGCCAGTTGAGGTGATCGTGGTGGTGCCACATCAAGTGAAGATGGCGGTGTGAATTCAGGGAAATGTGGTGATGCAACATCAAATGAAGGTGGTGCCACATCAGGTGATCGTGATGGTGCCACTTCAGGTGAAGGTGGTGGTGCCTGTTCAGGTGAAGTTGGTGGTGCCAGTTCAGGTGAAGGTGGTGGTGCCAGTTCAGGTGATTGTGGTGGTGCCACATCAGGTGAAGGTGGTGGTGCCAGTTCAGGTGATCGTGGTGGTGCCTGTTCAGGTGAAGGTGGTGGTGCCAGTTCAGGTGAAGGTGGTGGTGCCTGTTCAGGTGATCGTGGTGGTGCCAGTTCAGATAAAGGTGGTGCTGCCACATCAGGTGAAGGTGGTGGTGCCACATCAGGTGAAGGTGGTGGTGCCTGTTCAGGTGATCGTGGTGGTGCCACATCAGGTAAAGGTGGTGATGCCAGCTCAGGTGACCATGGTGGTGCCAGTTCAGGTAAATGTGGTGGTGCCACATCAGGTGAAGGTGGTGGTGCCACATCAGGTAAAGGTGGTGGTGCCAGTTCAGGTAAATGTGGTGGTGCCACATCAGGTGAAGGTGGTGCCACATCAGGTAAAGGTGGTGATGCCAGTTCAGGTGACCATGGTGGTGCCAGTTCAGGTGATCGTCGTGGTGCCAGTTCAGGTGAAGGTGGTGGTGCCACATCAGGTGAGGTTGGTGGTGCCAGTTCAGGTGAACGTGGTGGTGCCACATCAGGTGAGGGTGGTGGTGCCAGTTCAGGTGATGAAGATGCCAATTCCAGTGAGGATGGTGTCAATTCAGGTGATTGTGGTGATACCACACCAGGTGAAGCTGGCACGGCCATGTCATGTGATTGTGGTGGTATCAGAATGGGTGAAAGTGCAAATCCAGGTGATTGTGGTGGTGCATCTTCATGTGAAGCTGGCAGTGCCAATCCATGTGAAGCTGGCAGTGCCAATCCATGTGAAACTGGCAGTGCTAATCCAGGTGATCCCGGTGGTGCCACATCAGGTGATCGCAGTAATGTCACCTCAGGTGATTGCGGTGGTGCCACATCAGGTGATCGCAGTAATGTCACCTCAGGTGATCCCAATGGTGCCACATCAGACGATTGGGGTGGTGCTACATCAGGTGATTGGGGTGGTGCCACGTCAGGTGATCGCGGTGGTGCCACGTTAGGTGATCCTGGTGGTGCCACGTTAGGTGATCCTGGTGGTGCCACATCGGGTGATTGCGGTGGTGCCACATCAGGGGATTGTGGTGGTGCCACATCAGGTGATCGCGGTGGTGCCACGTCAGGTGATTGGGGTGGTGCCACGTCAGGTGATTGCGGTGGTGCCACATCAGGTGAAGGTGGTGGTGCCACATCAGGTGATCGCGGTGGTGCCACATCAGGTGATTGGGGTGGTGCCACATCAGGTGATTGTGGTGGTGCCACATCAGGTGATCGTGGTGGTGCCACATCAGGTGATCGCGGTGGTGCCACATCAGGTGATCGGGGTGGTATCACATCAGGGGATTGTTGTGGTGCCACATCAGGTGATCGCGGTGGTGCCACATCAGGTGATTTTGGTGGTGCCACATCAGGTGATTGTGGTGGTGCCACATCAGGTGATCGCGGTGGTGCCACGTCAGGGGATCGCGGAGGTGCCACGTCAGGGGATTGTGGTGGTGCCACATCAGGTGATCGCGGTGGTGCCACATTAGGTGATTGAAGTGGTGCCACATCAGGTGATCGTGGTGTTGCCACATTAGGTGATCGGGGTGGTGCCACATCAGGGGATTGTGGTGGTGCCACATCAGGTGATCGCGGTGGTGCCACATCAGGGGATTGTGGTGGTGCCACATCAGGTGATCGCGTTGGTGCCACATCAGGGGATTGTGGTGGTACCACATCAGGTGATTGTGGTGGTGCCACATTAGGTGATTGGGGTGGTGCCACATCAGGGGATTGTGGTGGTGCTACATTAGGTGATCGCGGTGGTGCCACATCAGGTGATTGGGGTGGTGCCACATCAGGGGATTGTGGTGGTGCCACATCAGGTGATCGCGGTGGTGCCACATCAGGTGATCGGTGTGGTGCCACATCAGGGGATTGGGGTGGTGCCACATCAGGTGATTGGGGTGGTGCCGCATCAGGTGATTGGGGTGGTGCCGCATCAGGTGATCGCGGTGGTGCCACATCAGGGGATTGTGGTGGTGCCACATCAGGGGATTGTGGTGCCACATCAGGGGATTGTGGTGGTGCCACATCAGGTGATCGCGGTGGTGCCGCATCAGGTGATTGGGGTGGTGCCGCATCAGGGGATTGTGGTGGTGCCACATCAGGTGATCGCGGTGGTGCCACATCAGGTGATTGGGGTGGTGCCGCATCAGGGGATTGTGGTGGTGCCACATCAGGTGATCGCGGTGGTGCCGCATCAGGTGATTGGGGTGGTGCCACGTCAGGGGATCGCGGAGGTGCCGCATCAGGTGATTGTGGTGGTGCCACATCAGGTGATCGCGGTGGTGCCACATCAGGGGATCGTGGTGGTGCCACATCAGGTGATTGGGGTGGTGCCACATCAGGTGATCGCGGTGGTGCCACATCAGGGGATCGCGGTGGTGCCACATCAGGTGATTGGGGTGGTGCCACATCAGGTGATTGGGGTGGTGCTACGTCAAGTGAATTTGGAAGTGTTGCAACAGGTGCTAAATGAGGTGCCATTTGAGGTGAATCATTAGAATAAGGTTGAGCTGCCTCTTCAGGTGAAGATGGTGGCAGTACTTTAGGGATAGGCACTGGTTTCATTTCAGGAGATGAAGGTGGAGACACTTCAGGAGGTGGTAAAAGTGTCATTTTGGAATTCAGTGGTGGTGCCACTTCAGCATATGGTAGAGGTACATCGTCAGGATAAAGTGAATGTTTCACCTCGGTAGAAGGCTGTGCTAGAACCTCAGAATAATACTGTTGCTCTATTTCATCATTATTGGTGAGATCTAATGAAGGACCAGCAATGCTGATGATTTGGGGATCAGGAAGAGGCTCCACCATGCGGTTAAGAGGTTTTGTAACGTCAGGAGAAGCATGGGATTCCTTTAGTTTAACATTCTCAGGATAAGATACTCCATCTGTATAAGGGTGAGGGTAACTTCGTTGGTTATCAGCATACTCACGATAAAATACTACTTCAGAAGGATTTGGCGATACCTCATGGAATGGAGGTTGTGTCTGTTCAAGATTATGATAAGGATTCATAACTTTCTTGTTTTCTGAATTAAGTTGTTCTAACGTTTGTCGCTTCTTCAACACACCCAATAAGTTCTGAATATTGGAAGCTGGGGTTAAATTAGATAAACAAGCTGAAACAAATGCACACTGAATTCCCTTCAACACCATCACTTACATTTATAGTTAAATTAATGTGACTTAATGCCATTGTGAAACATTTACAGAATGCCTGTCATTGAACTGACATATCAGAAGGGGAATCAAAATGATAAGGTGCAAGAGAACTTATTGGTAAATCATGCAAGTTTCTGACTAAATTCATGATTGAACATCCACAAATTGTATAATTGAACGTTTAATATTAAAGCGAGGAGCATGTTTCACATCACTATATAAAGTAACATTTATACATACACAGGCAAAATATTTATTTATTATCAGTATCTCAAGTCTAATTGAGTAGAAGGAATTCAATTCAATAATTTGAAAATAAACTGTTTTTTACTTGATGGGATGTTCAATTCTTAATATGCCTTGTACAGTCAAACCTGGAACAAGAACATCGTTTTCAATTATATAACTTGATGTTTTCATTTTGATGAAATAGGCATTAGAATAACATCATAAAATTCGACATGTATGCACATGTGTATTATATATTCATTGTTAGGTATCAGAGAACATAGAAACTTAAGAAACAGAAGCAGGAATAGACCGTTTGATACCCAGAGCCTTGCTATGTCTTTCAATAGGATCACTACTGAATTGATTGTGATCCTTCATTACCCTTGGCTCCCTTATAGATCAAAATTTCTCCTGTTAAATTCATGAACTGTCTTTGGAAATAATACACCCACTTCTAAGTTCCTCCAGAAGGGGAAACTTACTCTCAGCATCACACTATCAAACCCCCCCCAGAATTTGATATATTTCAGTAAGATTGTCCTTCATTCTTCGAAAAGAATTTCTAAAAATCATTCTTCCAGTCTGCTAAACCTTTCCTCATGAGGCAACTCATTTTGTGTCAAGAATCAATTTAGTGAGCCTTCTCTGCTTCCAATGAATGAGCGTAGACAACCAGTACAGAGAATGGTCAAAGATTTGAAGCAGTTGATAAACACAACCACCTTGGTTGTAGCCTCTCTGGAATATTTCATATTGATGATGAAATCACAGCTAGTAAGGCTAAGAACAGTGTTGCTGTTTACAATCTATGAATAACTGATTGGTATTGAAGAGGAATTTGTCTCTCAACAATAATGAGACAAAAACCGTTAACCTGAAATGTTAACTTTGATTTTTTTCTCCACAGATGCTGCCAGACCTGCTAAGCTTTTCCAGCAACTTCTGTTTTTGTTGCTTCAAAATCTCCCCTCCCCCTACCACATCCCAAAACCAGTCCAGCTCGTCCCCGCCTCCCTAACCTGTTCTTCCTCCCACCTAGCCCCTCCTCCCACCCCAAGCCGCACCCCCATCTCCTACCTACTAACCTCATCCCGCCCCCTTGACCTGTCCGTCCTCCCTGGACTGACCTATCCCCTCCCTAACTCCCCACCTACACTCACCTTTACTGGCCCCATCCCCACCTCTTCGACCTGTTTGTTTCCTCTCCACCTATCCTCTCCTCTATCCATCTTCTATCCGCCTCCCACTCTCTCCCTATTTATTTCAGAAACCCCCTCCCCTCCCCCTTTTCTGATGAAGGGTCTAGGCCCGAAACGTCAGCCTTTCTGCTCCTATGATGCTGCTTGGCCTGCTGTGTTCATCCAGCCCTGCACCTTGTTGTCTCTGTTTTTGTTCCTGATTTATAGCATCCGCAGTTCTTTCGGTTTTTATCTCTGTCTCTGGCTTGTTGCGGTGTTCCAGCGAAACTCAATGCAAGCTGGAAGAACAATGCCTCATTTTCCTTTTGGGGACCTTGCAGACCTCCAGACTCAATATAAAGTTCAATAATTTTAGGGCCTAAACTCCCCATGTTCTAGCCCTCTACCAGGCCTTGTTCTCACATTGTCTGCCATTACACACTACCTATTGTTAGTCATTAACAGTACCCATTAACAACTATTCAGCCTCCTAGCTAGATCATTATCAACTCCTTTGTCTATTCAACTGCTCTTCTCTCTCTTCGGGCTCTATCCTATCATTTACTCACTGGCCCATCCCCTCCCTACTTTCTGCATATAAACTGATATTTTCCCAGCTAACATCAGTTCTGAGCAAAGGTTACCGGACCTGAAACATTAACTCTGATTTTTTTTTCACAGATGCTGTCAGACCTGCTGAGCTTTTCCAGCAACTGAGATAATAAGGTGTAGAGCTGGATGAACACAGCAGGCCAAGCAGCATCAGAGGAGCAGGAAGGCTGACGTTTCCGGCCTAGAGCCTTCTTCATCCAGCTCTACACCTTGTTATCTCAGATACTCCAGCACCTGCAGTTCCTACTATCTCTTTTCTAGCAACTTCTGCTTTTGTTCCTGATCTACAGCATCCACAGTCCTTTCGGTTTTTATTCCATTTGCCTTACTTCTTATAACAGCACAATAATGTTTTGTGTTTCATGTACAAAAGTGGATAACTTCAAATTTTGCTAAATTCTTGCTCATTCACTTGAACTTATCTAAATTCTAACAACTTCCTTTCTTGCTTACCTCGGGTCACACGTGGGAGAGAGTGGGGAGTAGTTGGCTGTTTGAGGTGGGGTAACCAGTTGTTCAGGTTAGGTCGAGGCGGTGGTTGGGGATATACTGTGGTTGGGAGAGTAGTTAGGTTAGGTTGGGTTAGTTGGGTGTTAGAAGGCTAGTCAGTTGGGTTATGTGGTTGGGATAATGCTGCTTGGGTGGTCTGATGGGTAGTCAGATGGTCAACAGAGAGTCGACAGGTTATGGTGTATTTAGGTTGAGTCGGGTGGAGGGAGTAGACGGGTGGTCAAATGGTTTGTTGGCCAATTATGAGGTTGGTGATTGGACGGGGGATATTCCCAGATAAGTCCAACATAATTCCCATATATATCTTTTGCAGATTCCTGATGCACATCTTTTGTTGTACATCCCATCTTTGATGATCTGGAGACCAGAGAATTTGGGTGTAAATCTGTTGGAACACTGCCCCCCACCCCAACTCTGGCTTCCTACCAGGGACCTGCCTCCAGGCAGTTCAAGAGTCACTGTCACATGCTGAGACCTTTAGACGAAGTGAAAGATCTCAAGCAACCACAATAATTGGTGTTAAATGGTCATTAACTAGTTCAATGAATCAAAGAACTGCAGAAGCTGAAGATCTGAAGGGTCACTGGACTCAAAATGTTAACTCTGCTTTCTCTCTGCAGATGCTGTCAGATCTTCTGAGTTTCTTCAGCAATTTCTGTTTTAGTTTCATGATCTATTTCAACTGGCTTTATATGGCTGATGGGCATGTAGTCTTGTCACTTGCCCCACTCATGCTTGCAAAAATATCCTGCCGGAGGATGCTGATAGGGAATTGGTATGCTGGTGGCTGACGCTACTTTTAGCACCTGCTCGCCTCTATATCTAGAACTTGTGTGGACTGTGTCTTGCTCAGTAACTTGATTTCTCTGAATATCAATGCTGTCAGACCTGCTGAGGAATGGACATAAAATAGTTGATATGAAAATATTTCTTTTTAATAAATGTTTAAATCTTTTATTCTTTAATGGGATGAGGATGTCGCTGGCTAGGCAGCATCTATTGTCCATCCCTAATTACCCAGAGGATAGTTCAGAGTCAACCACATTGCTGTGGGTCTGGAGTCACATGTATGCCAGACCAGGTAAGGATGGCAATTTCCTTCCCTAAAGGACGTTAGTGAACCAGGTGGGTTTTTCCAACAATTGGCAATGGATTCCTGGTCATCATTAGATTCTTAATTCCAGACATTTTGTTGAATTCAAATTCCACCATTTGCCATGGTGGGATTCGAACCTGGTTCCCGAAATGTTATCCAGGTCTCTGGATTAACAGTCCAGCGATAATAATACCACTAGGAGAGGTTATTTTGTTTGAATTAAGGAGAAATTCTAATTAGAGTTAAGAAATGCATGTACCTCTTCAGTCTTTTACAATCTTTTACAATTTATATAAATGCCTTAGCTGAAGAGACTGAAGGTTTGCTGATGACACAAAGATAGATAAGACAGTTGTGAAGACAACATGAAGAGGCTACAGAGGAATGCAAGTAGGGTAAGTAAATGAGCAACGATCTGGCAAAGGAAGTATAATATGGGAAAGTGTGCAATTGTCCATTTTGGAAGGAAGAATCAAAAAGAAGCATATGGTGAGAGATTGTAAACCTTTAAGATACAGAGGGACCTGGGTGTCCCACCACATGAATTGCAAAAGAACACTGGACTGAATAATTAGGAGAGCTAAAAGAATATTATTGTTTATTTAGTCTGAGGGGAATTAAATACAAAAGTAGGAAATAATGCTTCAGTTCATTGGTAAGATCATATGTGCACAATATTGGTTTCCTTTTCAAAAAGGGTGTAAATACATTGGAAATAGTTCAAATATTTACGAGACAAATACTGGAATGGGCAGGTTGTCTTATGAGGAAAGGGTGGTCAATCTATGTTTGTATTCATTGGAGATTAGAAGAGTAAAAGGCAACTTGATTGAAACATACAAGATACTGAGGGTTCCGAACAGGGTGGATGTGGAAAGGATGTTTCTTTATGTGAGAGAATGTAGAACAAGGGGTCACTATATAAAAATAATTGATTGCTAATTTAAGACAGAGATGAGGAGATTTTTTTTCTCACAGAGTTGAGAATCTTTGGAAAGCTCTTCCTCAGTGGAAGTGAATATCTTTGACTATTTTTAAGATAGAACTAGATAGATTTTTGATAAGCAGGTGTTGAAAGTTTTTTGGGGGAGGCAGAAATGTGGATCAATCAGATTATTCATGATCTTATTGAATGATGGATTAGGTTCCAGCCATTGAGTGACCTACTGCTGCTCCTAATTTGTATATTTGTACATTTAAGTGCGCATTAGGTACCTTTATGTTAACTACTGTGTGTATTCTATAAGCCACCAAATTGTGCGAAAGATAATAGAGAGCACATGGTCAACAAAATCATAGAGAGATG